CGCAAACGAGAGTTGATATTTAAAAGTGATATCGGTACCATTTGATTGATGCGTTGCCAGGATGGATAGCCCTTATTTCGTCTCTATTTCTGGTTATATACTCGATGGGTCAACTGTGGTCCTACACCACTGACTCTTGTTGAATTATTTGCATATTACTTTATAATCACCTTCTTCGTGTGACGTCACCGTCATAGGAAACCTGTGACCAGCAGTACATACCTGAATAACTGTGAGTTAATGACGCGTGTGGATAATTATAATGCTAGAAATATTATTATTTCAAATATTTCTCAAATTATATTAAATTTGAATTTCGTAACACGCAAATTGAACTTGTTGTCTCAGTCATGGTGTTAACATGGTCACCCAGAATGATACCAGTTGTGCTAACTTTCCAAGTCAGGGTTCTTGGCTTTTACTGTAAAATGTACTTATTAAGTCAATGAACTGATTATGTCAAGGTTTAGAAATCTTAAAGTTTTTATAATACATGGAGATGATCTCGCTGATGGCTGTTAAAAATCATAAAGGTATTGTGAATGGATCTCGAATTCGATATCTTGTAGAAGTTTACATTAATTGATTTGCATTTATCGATCACTATGTATATATTTTTATAATACTAGGTGACGGGACGAACGACGTGCAGCTGTGTAGACTATGATCATATTGCCTGAAACTCTTGGCAGAAGCGACCATGCTCAACTGTGGAATGTATAATAAAATTTGTAGTAGTCTACTGCTACAAATAGATGCTCTGAACTCTAGGAGCTCTAGCTCCTTGTGAAAGAATTCGTCCAGGGAAGTAATCCTCTTATCTATTTCTGCCGCCAAGCAGTAATGTGATCATTATTGCGTTCCGGTTTTGACGGGTTAGAATGTTGGTTAAATTACAGGCACATGAGAATTGTAGATTTTTTATAGGGTGACGTATGCAGTGGCAGCGCCCTTCAGATCTCTGAGATTTAACCACGGGCCCCTCAGAGCCCTGCAACTGCTATGGACTGGTGTGTCGCTTATCACTAGGCACACGAGTTGTACGTCCCGTCGTCGCTAGGTAACGTAAAAAAACATGAAAACGAACGATTTACGAGTTCACTATATATTAAAAAGTTGGTTTCTCAGGGTTTTGTTTAAAAACTGAGGTAAGATAATAATTTTAATTACGTCGTTTTAACAACTATACAAACACCTTGTATACCACTACAAAAGTACTGCTGTTCGAACTAATTAACAATATGTTTTCGCCTTTAAAATGCCGCTACTCTCCACGAATAATGCCGGAAAAAAAAGTTTTTTTTTACACAAGTGCATTCGGAGTGTGCAAATTTAAAAAAAAATGTAAATATGACACTGCTTTTCAAAATAGTTGTTCGCATATACGATTCGTCAATTTTTTAAACCATATTGTTGTTGGTATTCTTTAGATAGGCCGCTATTCTACAAAGGCGCCGACATATTTTACTGATATGCTTATTTCAATAAACGTCTCATTGTCGCATTATTATTTATACCCATGGCGATCGACTTTGACTTGTGAGAGTTCTGCGCTTGCTTCAGGGTGAAAACGAAAGGTTTACGACGCATTGTGGAGGTTCCTGCTTTCTGTTGTTGATGCACCTTTTACTTCATTCTAATTCTTGAACTTGAGACCCCAATTCAGATTCATTAAAACCTTAAACCTTTTTATTTATTTATTTTATCTCAAAGGGCTTATACAGCTTATACTACAACTTAATAGAAATGAATGTAACAATTGTAAACAGATAGATAGACAGATAGATAAACACTTTATTCACTAGTATTACACAAATACAAATTGAACACATCAGGAATAATCTCAGTACAGAGTACCAAAAAAAACAACCTCAAAAGCCATTCATCCCCTAGTTTGCCACCCTTAGAGGTGGAATATTTTCTTCAAATTTAAATGGAACCACTACTGAGGTACCTTCTTTCCAACAAAAAAAGAATCATCAAAATCGGTTAACAAATCAAAATTAAAAGAAAAGAATTATTGCATAACCTACATATAAAAAAATCGAATTGAGAACCTTCTTTGAACCTTTTTTTTTTAAGTCGGTTAAAGATAAAACATTTTTTGTCATAGCAGTGAAATGGCGCTGATTTAGCATATGCTAAGTCAGCGCATAATATATAATCGCGCATGATCAGCGCATATTTATGCATATGCCTAAGTTCCTTAAAACGCTGGTATTCAGTCAGAATTAACAAGAGGGACTAAATCTAGAAGTTATTTGTAATGAAAGATATAAATAAACGACTAGGAGGGAAATTGTTCATTAGAATAATAAATGTAATAAAATGTGAATAGTGGATCTAAAATAAGTAAAGACGAAGTGAAATTGGCTTATTCCCATCTGATACCCTAAAACCGATCCCCTGGATCCCCCATGTAAAAAAAAAATATTTTCTATTCCCTTCGGATTCCCAGAGCAGGGGATCACGAAGAATATTCATATTTTATTCCGCCCTGATACCTTGGTATACAAGTATTTTTGGTAGGTACTGTGGTACAGTCAACTGCGTATTACTTTTTGCTTACCATCAGGCACACGACTTGTTCGTCCAGTCACTTGATATTATAAAAAAAAAAAACAAACAATAAACGACCTTAAAAAATCTTCAATGTTTTTTACCTTTTTTTCACTTGTGATCATCATAGTACATATATTATGTATACAAAATATACAATGAATATCTCCATACAATATCACATACCAATTTACGTATGAATGAAAGCTCAGGATTAAATGTTCGACCCCAATAGAAGGGAAGGCTGAGGTATGTATGATATGAGAAAGTTATTGAAAGACTATTTATGATTAGGTACATAAACTTCTTAAATATTGTTCCCATTTGTAAGATTTGTATGATAAATATAGGACTTTAGGTAATTTTTAACTGACTTCAAAAAAGGAGGAGGTGCTCAATTCGACTGCTCTATTCGGTTTTTTTTGTATGTGTGTTACGCGATTACTCGCGCATTTGTAAAGCGATTTTGATGATTCTTTTTTATTGGCAAGAAAAATTCCACCTCTAAGGGTGGCAAAGTAGGGGATGAATCCGGTTTCGCGCACTTTCCGGTAAACGATTTCATTATAACTTGGCAAATAGATACAATTCCACAGACTTTTGAGATCGTTTTTTTACATAAAAGAGTTGTGTATTGTTATTTTGAACCATTTATTTTTTCTTTAAATTGACCAGAAATCAGGTGTAATTTAGTTTCACCAGTAACTGACGCTGTTGGATTGTCTACGGACAGATTGATCAGATATCAATTGTGCATCAAGTCTGATGTCGGGGTTGAATATAAGGAACGGTTGGCAACTCGGGGAATGTGTGCTCCGATTCGGTTGTGTGCAATATTTTTTTTATCATAATACGTGACAGGACTAATAAGTCGTGCGCCTGGTGGTAAGCAACTGATCTATCCATGACAGTTGCAGTACCTCTGAAGGATACTGCCACTGCGCCCGTCACCCTGAGACGTAATTGACATATATCCCATGTGCATGTAGCTTCACCAGCACCCATACCTTTCGAAACCGAAACAAAGTAATGCTCACATTACTGCTTGGCGGCAGAAATAGGTAAGGTGGCGGTACTGCCCCAGATGAACTCTTTCACAAGGAATTCTACTCCTACTAAATTTATAGTAATACTAACTTCAAGAGGGCTGTATGTTTTTTTATGTACGTTACGCGATAATTCTGGCATACCATTTGTTAAACGATTTTGAAGATTCTTTTTTGTTGAAAAGAGAGTACCTCAGTAGTGGTCCCATTTAAATTTGAAGAAAGTATTCAACCTCTAAGAGTGGCAAACTAGGGGATAAATGACTTTTGAGGTAGGTTTTTTAGTACTTTGTACTGAAATTATTATTTAACAATTGTGATATTTTGAAATATTCAGAAAGTGTGTATTGTTTTAAAAATAAAATTATCATCATCATCATTCACAGCCCAACTTCATCCACTCCTGGGTATAGGTTTACTTTGTCCCATCCACCACAATCTTACATTAGCCTCACCCACTTATGGCCCGCAAGTAATTTAACAATTTTTGCCCAAAATACAAGTTTTTAAGACAGCCATACCAATTACCTGGTCTCAAATTAAGGAATTCCCAAATTAGTCCTACTGGAAATCGAACCTGAGGACTTCCTCATCCAGCACCTATAGAGCAAACAGTTAGGCCAATGATGTCGTCACGTAATTAGGGATCATATAACAGAACCGAAAAAAAACCATCCTCTAAACTACTTTTGTATGGAAAGAGTTTCAAAAGTCCTTTAAGAACTAGAGCGTTTTAATTTTCCTTTACATTTCTATTGTCGTAGGCATCTAAGTAAGTATCGCGTTGTAAAAGGTTAGGTAAAACAGAAACAAATAAAATAATATTGACTCATATATTTTCATAATTTATTACTGGATTCATAATAAATTACATTAGTTATATTACTCTGAAGAAATTTAGTAAAGAAAAGATTTGTACATTTCAAAGTTGCATCACCTACAAAAACATAAGTTAATACACAATATAATACTCAATAAAATGTTTACTATAATAAAAAAATATATAATACTTTGTATAGTACATGGTAATATATAAACAATATATCAAACGAAGATTCAAAAAATAATATTTTACGTAAATACTCTCATATGAAACATATTTACAAAAGTTGTATAAAGATTTTATAGTATATTAAGTATATAGACAACATATAAAATACGACTAGTAATACATGAACACATAAAAAGGACTAACAAAAATAAAAGAAAAACTAAAAATGTATTAAAGCTACAAAAGAGACTAAAAATAATAATTGTACTATCGAAAAAATAAGAGTATTAAACAGGTACGACGTAAACAAAAAATATACTAAAAGTAATATATACAAAAATATAAACAGATACGGCGATGCTTTGGAAAACAGACAAGACACACTCGTTCACACATAAATTAAACGTTTTATAACATGCGCTTACATAAATTAAATAAGTTATTAAATTAAATAAATTAATCTCTTTCTGAGGTCCGTACTAGACTAACCGAAGATACATAGACTAATCCTCTATAAGGATGTAGCAGTCTTTTAAAACTCTTAGGTTTTTTTAGTTCGAATAGGCGCTGTATGCGAGGTTCTGAGCGTCGTCCTGTGTGGATCTGCCCCATCCACCGTGGCCACCTCCGTGGCTGTAGTGTTCCTCATGGTGAGGGTGAGCTACTACTTCATAACTCTCATGGTGGTCATGTTTGGAAAGGAGCTTCTTCAGGAGAACCAGTGCTGAGGCAAAGAGAGCGGCCTTGGCGATCATCAAACCTTTGATGGCGGCGAAGGCAATAATACCCAAGAAGAGAGGGATCAAAGACTGGATCTTCAGTTGGAGGAGAGCGTAGATAGGTATCAATTGCGCCAGTTTCTTCTTCTTGCCACGACCTGGAAGAAAATACTTTCGTAAGTGGTGATTCTAGTTTATGAAAACCAGTCTCAGAACTTAAGATGCCTTTTCCTTAGATGCTCGTGTCAATGCGTTAGTCAACATAAATATTTAGTGTCTTGGAAAATTGCCTAACTGTTTTGAATATTAAGACGTGAAAATAATTATGTACAGATCTCAGTGTCCGTTAAGTATCATTCATTTGCACGTCATATAATTTCTCAGGAAACTGGTTATCTTAAATGCCGTAGTTACAATATCCGGAAGTCCAGTGAAGTTAGCTATTACAAGTTTAATAAGTAAGCCAACAGAACAAGGTTATAAATTCTAGAGCATTAACACTTTTACCACATTTCAAAACAAATCAAGCCGACTGGCTAATACGAAATGTCTTTTCTATCCCACTTGGAGTGCGCATGTTCGAAACAAAGTCGACCACTAGGTAAAAACTCAAAACCTGATTCAAGAACGCACCTGAAATTTTAAACGATATCGCTTTCATTGAAATTCACATTGTTACGTACAGTTTGCATAACAAGTTCGTTCATCTAGAAAGTGCATCGATTACCGGACGTTACAATTCGAAAGCTCCAAGCCTACTTCCTTATTTCGTTAACGAGAATCCGCCTGGAGCATGACTTTTACTCTATTCTCAATCGAGATTTCGATCACGGCCGGTAACGGAACTCTTTAAAACTAGTTACATAGTCCTACATACTCGAGCAAGTGTACTATGGAAATCTAGCAAAAACTAGACTTGTCCGCTTTCCACCATCAACCTTGTTAATAGGTTAGAGAAACTCCTGTTAGACCCGTTTGGCCTTTACGATTTCTAGAGTCTTCTTTCAATGGTATATGAGGCTCATCCGGATAGTGGTACTGTGGAGTTCCGGCAATCGTGGACTACGAATTTTCTCTTTTCATTAATACAAACACGCGTTTAAACGTCTTTAGATGTATAATTTGATATAATCTTCTTTTTATTTAATATAACTTAATTGACTTCAGAACTATTATGACTACTTTCTATTTTTAAATTCCCAATTATGTACTCATTGGACCGGTTCCGAAAAGTTTCTTTAATTGATAATGTATCGAGAATTATGAGGAGATTATTAATGAGTACGAGAGCTTTTTTATATAACGTCTTACTTTTAACTTTTTTTAGTCTAAATTATCACCTAAGTTTTTTTAATCGACGATGAAACTTCGAATCTATTATTTTTTGAATTTTTTCACCGTCCAATTCATCACACTAGATAACAGTTAAGATAAATCTGTAATTTATACAATTTATGCAACAAACTAACTAGAAATGGCACCATAACATTAACTTGGGTACTCAAAGATATCACCTAACGTTTTCGGTTACTTAACAAAGAACACGCGTGTCATAATATTTGTAATTTATGGATGGGTGATACTATGCGACTAAATACAAATAATAGTAATATGTTTTTTTGTCATCTACTCCTTGAGTGTTGCATTGTCTTTGACAATAGTCATCATTATAATATGACCTTTAATGGGCATTAAAAGGCATATTATAATAATTAGCATTTCTAATTTCTACTTTAGCTTTCAAATGTTACACAGCTTTTATAATAGTAAAAACAATATATTTATTTTTCAAAGTGAAATTAATTACAATAAATGTGCAATTCTTAATTCGGTAGTAAAGCGAGATTGTAACGTTAGTAAACGAATAGACATTTTGGAGCACATATAATAGTTGTCTTGCCCACTTTCACTCATTTATCTTTGACCGGTATTACGAATGTTGGATTCGCCTTGGGCATTGCAGGTGTATGATAATAAATGATTGACGAGTTCAATTAATTGGACGAAGACATGGGATCGTCATTAAAGCAATTTGATGTGAGTAATAGAATTGTGTTAGAGAAAAAACATTTCTTATAATAGGTTTAGGTTTTCCTTGTATGTACTTGAACAGAAATTAAGATTCCATGAAATATTGTCACGTTAAACTAATGTAACGTATTAATTTTTTGATTGTTGAATGAACTATTTCAGTACAATTTGCAATTAAAAGTAGTTAATGTAATGCAATTAAATACAAAAGGCATCCATAATTTTCTAGCGAATAGCGGCCTATCCTAAAAATACCTAATTCGTCAGGAATATGGTTTGAAAAATACTACGGCTTATCTGACATGCAAAACTGATGAATCGTATATCGGCACAATGTTGTCACGTAATTATTTTGACCAATGTAATGCTTAGTGCTTGCTTAGTTAATTAACCATTTTGATTTCAACTATATTCTTGAAAAGCAACGTTATTACATATGAACTGAATAAACAAATTTAATGTGAATGAACGAAATTATTAAAGAAAAAAATTATTTAAACTATCATCACATGACTGACACAAAACATCATCACGTGCAATTTACGCAACACACAAAAAGAAATGGACAGTAATTTGCTACAAAAAGTAAGACCTACTTCTCATACTATAAAGCTACAAAAAAAGAACTACAATTATTTAATCATGAGTTACGTAAATCTGGTTTGTGTGTACAATGACTAGCGTGTTTACTTACTATCAAATATTGACCTCAAATAACTGATACTAACCTTCCTCAAGAGAGCGTTTGACATCCTCTACTGTGGACTTAGGTACTCGCAGTTGAATGACGTGGTTCTCAAGGAAATCGGCAGCAGCGTCTAGAAGACGGCCTTCAACTTGATTTTCCCTTGCCTTCGGTTCGACGGCCAAGGGCTCGAAGGAACGGGCAGAGCGAGGAGAGCCGGTGCCAATAAGGCTGATTCCGTCTGTAATGCTCACTTCTCTGGCCGTGTTAAGGTTTTCGACGTATTTAAGAGCTCTTTCCTGTAAGAAAAAATAAACTCGTAAAGTGAGAAAAGCTAGTGGTAAAGAAACTCTGATTTTGGATTATTTAAATTAACAATGGGTAAAATAGTTCAAATAATCCTTTAATTGTAAAAGTGATACTCAAGAACAAGTTTCTTTTTCAAAATGAAGAAAGTTCTTCAATATAGATTAGTAGAGAAGAAGTGCACACTGAATTAACTTACAAACTCTTCTAAAAATTGTTATCACTTCGGTATACGAGTACACGTATTACAATAAAACAAATAATAATAATAATAATAATAACGCACACACTCAACATAGCCCCGCACTAGGGAAACCCTGTGTCGCGGGTGCCATGGACACACACATAGACAACCACAAATTACACCCAAACTCACGAGAGAAATAATTGTAGGCCATACAAATATTTCTCCCGGCCCGGGAATCGAACCTGGGACCTCTGCGTGGCAGTCCGGTATGGTAACCGTTCGGCCACGGAGGCAGTTAAATAAAATAGTAGTTGTTGATAAAAATAGTAGTTGTTGATAATTTAAAGGTTAATTGATAAACAAAAAAGAAATCTAGAGTATTTGGTTCACTTGGATACTTGGGTCTCAATTAATCCTCAATTTGAGGAATTATAAGCAACCGTTTTAATATTGAAAGCATTTGGATTTCATAAATAAAATGACTTCATAAATCATTAATGAAATTCTGAAAGGGTAAACATTTTTAGGGCAAGGGCAATCCATTTGTTTGGACAGGACTAATTTGCATTAAATAAAAGATATTTCAGAAAATTTTCGAAAAGGAATTAGAAAAGCACTTAGGAACACAATCACAACACACCTTTAAGCACAACGAAACGTCTTCCTCGGCACACCCCTTGACGACTCCGATGACGGAGCCGATGACATCATCGTCACCACCAGCTGGCTTGCAGCTCACAACCGCGACACTCACTAAGAATACGACGAAGGCCTTCATTTTTGGTCCTTAGACGCCTTCAGTGGTGTTAAGTGAAATGTAGTATAAGTTGAGTGCCAAAGCGGTTTTATTCCTCTTGCCCCCTCCTCTAACTCTAAGTTCCCGCCAAAATGTGCGTACGCGAAGCTCTTAAAATGATTAGAAGTGACGTCGACCCCGCATCGAAATTAGAACATGTGTAACGTTTCATAGTTTTAGAAATTTTTTGATGATTAGTTGAATTTATTGTATGCTAATTTTATTGTTACTAAAGCACGTGTACTAATATTTAAAGTACTGTAGTTTGGGATAATTTAGACATGATAGTAATTCATTAAATAAATAGACGTGGAAGAGATTTGATCTTTTTAATTACATGACTTTTTTTCTTCCTTTTTATTATAATCTGTTTTGTGCTAATCCCTGAAATTGTATTAGTGAATTTTAACAATGTACTGAATTATACAACCTTGATGTTACACTTTTAAAGTACTGTCAGTCATGTCTTAACCATTTCAAAGTCTTCGGAATCTCAAGTTTATGCGGTTCAAGTACCCTTGGAGCCGTTTGATTGGTCCATCTCAACAGCTATTTTCTACGCAAATTAAAATTTATGTGTTGATTTCTAAAATTACACAACTGCCGTCTAGTAAAATTCAAAAAACTATAACATACAATTACTTAATTACTAATGGAGGATGTTGCCAATAATTGACGCGTTTGAATCTAAAATAGTACATGTCATTATTATACGCCTGCGTCTCATTAAGGTAGATAGAGATTACGGATGTCAAAAAAACCATAGTAGCCTAGTGGTTTGACCTACCACCTCTTAAGCAGAGGATGTGGGTCCGAATCCGGACCTCTGAGATTTCGAAATTATGTGCGAAATTCAACTAGATATTTACTGTGAATTTTTCGGAGAAGGAATGTTTTCCTTTGTTGGCGAGGTAACCTGCACACATCTACAAAGCAACTACAACCCAAGCCCTCCCATTGTGAGAGGAGGCCTATGTCCAGCAGTGGGACTATATATAGGCTAACTATTTACGGATATCAACTTACAAAGCGTTACATCCAATGTACACTAGCAATTTAATCTTTGCACCTGTTCTATTTTTATTTCGTTTTTTGTTTCTTTTTTTTCAAATTTTGTATTTTGTTTTTCTAGTTTTTTTTTCACAAAATGCGGGGAGTATAATATTAGTAAATAAATATGGCTGTTCACAAAAATAACAGAAACTGATCAATAAGTAAAGTTGGCGTAGTGTTCATTGCAATATCGTAAAATATTTTGCATTATAGAAAAGTTCCGAAATGTAAGTTTTATAAACTATAAAACTAAACAGGAATATTAAACTTTTACTTTGTTGTGACATTACAAACCTGATTAAATTAATCAATCGATAATTTTAGAACATGATATATAACATTCTAATGGGTGACGTAATGTCTGAAGCTAAGGAATTAATGAATTTTAATAACGCTTCATTAATTTTGAAGATGTAATAAGACTGTCTTTTGAATCTTAATGAGTGGTTCTCATATTTAGTTAGGAATAGCGAAACACCAGACAGAATATGAACGACAGAGTATTGGGGGTAATTCAAGTATTGGATAAGCATTAATGCCGAAGTCATCAACTATTTGGTCTTCGAGCAGTAGAGCTCCATGTCAAAGAGTTCGCTAGGAAAGTACTGCTACCTTACCTATGTCTGCCACCAAGCGATAATGTGAGCATTACTGTGTTCCGGTTTGGAAAAATAAGGGTACTGGTGAAATTACAGGCACATGAGACTAGTCAACTTAAATCTCAGGGTGACGGGAGCAGTGGCAGTGCCCCTCAGATCTTTGCGATTTAGAGCTCTGAGTGGCACTGCAACCGTTATGGACAGGCGTGTAGCTTACCATCAGGTGCAGGACTTGCTCGTCCCGTCACTTGATATTATAAAAAAAAGTCTACTTATGTCTCTGGATAACGGGCGCAGTGGCAGTGCCCCTCAGATCTCTGCAATTTAAAGTTCTGAGTGGCACTACAACTATTATAGACAGGCGTGTCGCTTACCACAAGGCAAATGACTAGTTCGTTCCAACATTTGGTATCATAAAAAGAAAAGAAGTGTCATTTATTTAGAAACAGGAATGTCCTTAGTAACGCCTATGATAGGAAACTCCAATAATTGTTTATAATATTGCGTTCCATTTAACACGTCGATCTCAGGGTACACCACAAGGTCTGTCTGACTGGCGCGAACATGTAACTGCGAGATACTTTAAATTTAAATTTATTTAAAGAAAATCAACAGCATGTCGTAAACAGAATTCACGTATCGTTAGTCTATGCTAAGTTTAATTACAGATTTTCTAAATTAAATTAAAGAACGGGATATGTTAGTTACAGTAAAATAAAAAACAATACAAAAATGTTTGTCTAATAGAACGTTAGTTAGTCTTGAATAGAAAAAAAAAAGAATTAATAAAACGCTCTTGTCAATACGACGGCTTCTACGAGTAGTAAGAACTTATAAATATAATAATATATTAACACGTTCAAACCAGGAAAGAGAAGAGTCTCACTAGAAAGATTTACACCCACTGGTGGTACATCGCCGCGCTATAAATCAAAAGTTTTGCAGGTGGGGTGCCTGGTTTGTTTAAGTGTGTATTCTATTAAATTTCTAATTATTTTTTTCAAATTAATACTTTTTTTACCGTGACTTTATTTTATTTTGTTACACAATGTCAATCTCCGGAACTACACTATAAAAATTTCACTATTAATGCCAGGGAGGTAAGTAGTTTTTTTTATGAAACCAAGTGCTCCTGGTGGTAAGCGACACGCCTGTTCATAATAGTAGCAGTGCCGCTCAGAGCTTTAAATCGTGCTGCCACAACATCCGCCACCCTGAGTCACTTTAGTTTAAAAGTCCCATGTGCCAAAACTGGAACGCAGTAATGCCCACATTACTGTTTGGTGGTAGAAATAGATACATCAAAAGTTAAGCGTTGCGTGACCATCAGTTGTATATATACTCCACCTGATGGGCGAATTGTCCGTGCTTCACTGGTGGTGCAACCTGAGATGAACGTGTTAAATAGAACGTAATATTTCGTGTTAACAAATTACACTCTCCTTTTTTCCATTTATTTAAGAGCTAGGTTCTTGTCGGTTACAACCAACCATCTCATCCTCCAAAAGTATAAAAATATAATATACTGCTATAGTATACTACAAAATAAAACGTTGACAGTTGTACAGTATTAGATAAATTGTGATTGCAATTGAAGCATTGAGTGTAACAAGGGCGTATCACGTAAAAGTGAGATTCGAGAAAATTGAAAATAAAGTTTTAATGTCTTATATCTTTTTAATGTCAATAATATAGCTCTTATATACTTTATTATTTATTTGTCCTATGATTTAGCTAGAAGATTCAGGTGTTATTATTATTGTAAAACAATTAGAAACATTTGAAAATATTGTGTTATCCGCCTTTGTTGCATCAAATCGGTAAATTACTGGGGCGTTCGTTTTCCTATTGGTTTTTAAGGAAATAAATTGTGAATCACTCTTATTTAAAAGGTACATTGAAAAAAATTTAAACGTATTTTTAATCATTAATTAAATTCGCTGGATTGAAATGAATCGACAGTACCGTCGTCAGCAGGTCTCACTGGCTTCCTAGATGCTTCATGCTCGTTTCAGACATTTTTTTACATTAAAACTGGTGGTAACGGGTTCGAAATACAAACGCACGTTTATATCGTTGCCACAAGGGCGGAGCGCCACCGTCGAAATGAATGAAAATTACGCCATCTAGAAGGGAGATCGAAATGAGTTTTTGTCACACGATACTAGATGGTGTTTTACGTGTTTACAAAGCCCGTTTTGATGCTATTGTATCAAAATGCAATAACATCAAAACGGGCTTTGGGTGCCGAACGCCCTTGTTGTTCCCATTCCTTCAATTACAATCTACAATTTAGAAGTGGGCAGTTGTTCACATAGAGGCAATACATTACACACACACACTGAAAAAAACTGAAATAAACAAAATGTACACACTGAAGTCTCTATGATTGTAGTCATTTTAATAATTGTAGCAATAATTTTAAATGATGAACGTAATCATATTGTGATTGATTCTATCAAGTATATTGATATGCTAACTTAATTAAAGACTTTTTTTTTATGCAACACTGAGTACAATAACACTACCAATTAGTATCGAATGCAGACATTAATCCAAATCAGAAAGAAACCTGTTAGTGATTTAATCATTATTATAAAGATAACCGTCAGTATTACTGTCGCCTTAACTTTACAATTTTTATTTTAGATTTCATGTACCACCATTTTAATCCACGGGACGTTTAAAGTAGAAATTCGGCAACGTTTCTATTTCCACATTCCCATCCATCATCTTCCCCATTTCCCTTTTGGATGGCTAGGTATATATTATTCTTTGGCGGAAGTAGCTGTCGACCTTTTGGTCACCGGAGGTTTCAACAAAGCGAACTGAAAGCGCTTTAGTCACCTGTGAATTATAGGGATTCCACCTCAAAAGGCCCAAAACACTAACTTGTAATATTGTTTTTCTGCAAATAATCTTTATGTCTATTATTTTAAAAATAATTTTGGACGAATTTTGTTACCAACCAATCTTTGACGAGAAAAGAGAAGTTCGTGATATAAAAAAAAAATCTTATTTATGTTCGCTTTTAATAATTAGATTATGGAGGAGGAGGATTTCTGTTTCTAATTGCAATAAAAGATTGCGCTTGCGGTCTTTCATACCACAACCAGTCAATATAGTCTATTGAACATACTTTGATGTCGTCAAAATAAAAAGATACGAACGCTATGATTGGCAAGGGGTTTTTGTACCAGACTAATAGAGCTCCTTGTAAAAGAGTTCGTCCAGGGAAGTACTGCCATTTTACTTATTTCTGCCGCGAAGCAGTAACGTGAAATTACAGGAACGTGAACTTATCAACTTATGTCTCAGGGTGACGGGAGCAGAGGCAGTGCCCCTCAGATCTTTGTGATTTAAAGCTC